TTCACTTTTCTGTGAGCCATGACTGGCCCGCTCAGTCTCATCTTTGTAGCTGTAGTCAGGCATCACTTGTAAAATAATAGGATGGGGCAGCAGTGTACTATGGTACTTTCACTGCAGTTCATTTTGACCCGCACTCTGATGCTTTTTCTTGTGGCCTCTTTTGTGACAGCATTTTTGTTGTGGATTCTTTCTCATGTTTGCTCAGACAGATGGACGGAATGGTGACCAAGTCTTTGCTGCTTGTGACTTGTAACACTGAGCTTGGCTTGAAGTAATCAGCCCATTTTTCCTCTTTCAATTATAAACACTTTGAGCATTTAGCAATCCTCGTAAATGGACTGATGCGGTTAGCAGCTTCTGTCAGTGTTTCAGATTAGTGGCAGATGCCCAAAGCTTTTTTTGTGGCATTTGGCAGGTTGAGGAAAGTGTTATAACTTCCATCATCTACTTTTGCTAAACGGCTCAAATGATTCCAGTTGCCAGGAAGATAAAAATCAGCAGTCTGGAATCTTCTTTGATCTGGTTTTGTTTTGTTTTGTTTTGTTTTTTCTGGGTATGGAATAGAATGGAACAAATGGAGTGTTATCAACTCTGCTTGAGAGACTGCTCCCTGTTGGTTGCATTTGCTGGGTGGGTTGGTTTTTTTTGGTGGTTTTTTTTTTTTTTTTGCTCATTGTATATTTCAAAATTAAATTGCTGGGTTTTTTTGGGCTCAGTCTACAGGCAACACATCCTTCAGTCTGCACTCACTGCAATTCAGAATGAATGTAAATTAAATACAAATGAAGTATATATATGTGTATCTATTTTTGTATGTAGATAGAAGATGCTATTCCTTCTGGGGACTAATAATATTGTCATTCAAATATACTTTAATAGACTTAAACATCATCTTTTTAATCCTTGTCTAGTTCTAATTTTTAAAAGATTCCTCAATCATAGGGTTGTTTTGTTGGTGGTGTTTTGTTTTTTTTAAACCCCTCTAGTCTCAGTCAGCATTTATTTCCATTATTTGCAATGTTTTTTTCTTACATCTGTTTACTCTTCTCTCTAATACGACTAGTGGATGCATCATAGTTGTTGTTTCCCATGTGTTTGCAGTTTTGCCTGTAATTATGGATCCAAGATGGGACAGAGGCAAAATTGGTGGAGATTTTTGGTGTTTTGGGAATATTTTTCTCCTCTAGTTTTAATGTATGGATCTGATAGACTGGATAAGTTCCCCAATTTTTTATTTGCCCTTCTATTTAGGCTTCATTTACATTGGAATCGACTTTAGTATATTTCAATGAGGAGTAAAGGCTACATTAGTTGAAGCAAAAGTCCCATTAATTGAAGCAATTTGGTTGAAAGTGACCCAAAAATTGTCTGATTTTATTTGTTTTTGTTTCCTGGGAGAAGAAAAATGAGGTAAATAACTCATCTGTTTCTGTGTCTGCAATTAGGGTGTTTGTTTTTTGGAAAGTGTGGTCAGTTCAAAAACTGTGCTGTCAGTTAATTAAGGAAATAAAAGCCTACTTTTTAATTCTATCATCTGTCCAAGCACAGCAGCTAGAGCAGGTAGAACCAGCAACATGAGTAAGAACAATAGTCCGGGCTTCTTTTCCCCTTAATGTAATATGCCAAATGCACATATTCAGGACCTCCTCTGGACTGTAGGACCCTGAGTATGTTTTATGTTTCTTATAAGTGATGTTTTGTAGACACACAGGGACAAACTGAGTATATAGGTCTCATGAAAAACCCATTTAGATTATGCCTGATGTTGTGCAGGTTGTTGTCAACATAGTTTTAGCATTGGTATCGCAAGCGGCAGCTCAGAAGTGTGAGGGAGCAGTGGCATACAGCAGTGTGTGGAGAGCTAATAGAGCAGCAGTAGGAGAGCTAATGTGTGGAGCAGGGAGAAAAAAGGAAAGTGAAACATAAGAAAGGAGGAAAATTTGCTGGATTCCAACTTCAAGTCATTCTAGGTGTGTTTAAACTGTAATGTGACCTACCTTGAAGTTTTGATTCTCTGAGCTATAGCATCTCAGTAGAGCTTGAGAATACCCTGGGATAAAGAGCATAGAGCACTTGACACCTGCCCTTGGATTGGGTCAAACTGGCCACTGAATTTAGGCTTGCTGATAAGAGGGTTTTATAAATTTTGATTTCTTCCAAAAGTGCCCACTTTGATCTTCTTTTTTGTGATAGGGGAAGCCATAAGGTGTCTGCCACTGTATACTCTTAGAGCCTAACTCTGAAAAAGGTTCCTAGTTTAAGGCTGGGATATTATATGAATTCTGTTATAGTGATTTGATTTGTATGTGGATGTTTTTTCATTGTTCTTAACTTGGCTTATAATGAACCCATGGTTGCAGTCTTACACTGATCTATGTATGTTCAAGGACAGGTTGGACAGGGCCTTGAGCAACCCAGTCTAATGGGAGGTGTCCTTGCCCATGGCAGGAGGGTAGAACTTGATAATCTTAAGGTCCTTTCCAACCCAAACCATTCTGTGATTCTGTGTGAGTTTGGTATCACCTCTATATTTTGAGTGGTAAAAGTGTGTGCTGGCCTGGTATCCAGTGCTTTCAGTACCTGGTTCGTTTCCTGCCTTGGTTCATGGGCAAAAAACATAGCCGGCTTCACAGGTTAATAATTGTTCTTAGTGGGTTGTCTCTACCTCTTTACTCAGATTTATGTTTCCTTTCTGTTCTGGGTGAATTTGAATTAATAACTTATTGAAATTAATAAATTCAAAATATTTCTCCAGGTTTTTTGAACATTCAGGCAGAATGCTCTCTATCAGTTGCACTCAGCTCCTGGTGGAGGTATTTTTTATATCAGTAGCAGCTAAAGTAGACTGTATTAAAAGAGAAGGAAATGTAGCATAGAAAGTTTGGGTCTTTTGGGGCTTTTTTGGTGACCATTAATCACCCTAGGTCAAACCCCAGAATAGACTGAGCCAGAAAGATGTAGAAGGATGTAGGTGTGGATAAAGAAGATAGATGGAAGTTTTTTGTAAGTACCTTGGTAAAGTTAAGATTAGTTTGAGAGCCTTAACCTGTATTTTAATGAATTACAGCATGTTTGAATGTTTCACATTTCAGTTGTTCTTTAAAAAAAAAATATTAAAAAAATGTGAAAAGCAATTTCTCATATTGGTAAAAGTGCTTATAGATCATATTAAAAATTACACATATAAGGTAATTTAATTTTTGGAGTAATAAATAGCAGCAGTGTCTATGTACATGCTGCTTATATCACTTGCTTTGATCTTGTTCTTTGGTAATGTCTTGCCAACCAATAGGAAAGCAGAAAAATCTAACAAGCCTGGAACATAAACTGAAGTGTTGTGCTATGGGTAATGCAGAGGATTGTCTTGTGGAAGGAGTAAAATATGTAGGAACAATAGTGAGGTAAATGGTGGGAATGCTTATAAGGCGAACAAAATGGGGATGATGCTCTATCTTTCAGGATTGTGGAGGCAGAGTTTTAGAGAGGTGAGAAACGTAAACTCACTGCAGTTTGGGGCACTGAACAAGTCATCTGCTATGTGTTACTAGGAATTTAAAGTGAAATTTTGAACAAGAAAAAGGCACTAAGAAGTAGGGAAGGAAATATCTCTTAATGGTCAAGCATAAAGAATTATAGGAGGAATCGCTGAAAAATAGTGCAACTTCTTTAGCCTCCTGTTTGTCATTCAGTCTGCCTGTGAATTTATATTGCTTGGTTTTGGAGGTATGGTTTAAGAGGCACTGTTGGTTTTATCCATTCAACCAAACACCATGCAAAGGATCCACCACTGTCAAAGGGTGTTGGAAAGACCATTCAAGAAGAAGATTGTTCAGTGTGCAGATTTTAAATAGCTCCAAGCCTCTGTACCCTTCTCTAAGGTTATGAAGCTGCTTACATGGAGTAATTGAAAGGGTTATTTTAAACTTGCTCTCTTTTATGGGTGTAGAACCTGGAACACTGCTCTAATAGCACCTTCTAGTGCAAAGCTGTCTCCCTAATAGCTCTCAGCTCTCTTTCTTAACAACTGCCAACTTGAAGGACCTAAGAATTTGCTGTCTTTTCCCTTTCTCTGCTCCTCTGTAGCTTTCTACTGTTCATCCCTTGCCTCTTTTCCATGCCCTAAAAGCTCAATGGGTAGTACCCCTGGGCTTTTCCAAATTTGCCCTTGTGTACAGTTCTGGTGTCCTCAACATAAAAAGGACATGGATTTATTGGAGCAAGTCCAGAGGAGGGCCACGAGGATGATCAGGGGACTAGAGCACCTCCCATATGAAGACAGGCTGAGAAAGTTGGGACTTCAGCCTGGAGAAGAGAAGGCTGCATGGAGACCTCATAGCAGCCTTCCAGTATCTGAAGAGGGGCTATAGGGATGCTGGGGAGGGACTCTTCATTAGGGACTGTAGTGATAGGACAAGGGGTAATGGGTTAAAACTTAAACAAGGGAAGTTTAGGCTGGATATAAGGAGGAAATTCTTTCCTGTTAGGGTGGTGAGGCACTGGAATGGGTTGCCCAAGGAGGCTGTGAATGCTCCATCCCTGGCAGTGTTCAAGGCAAGGTTGGACGAGGCCTTGGGTGTCATGGTTTAGAGCGAGGTGTCCCTGCCCATGGCAGGGGGGTTGGAACTTGATGATCTTAAGGTCCTTTCCAACCCTAACTATTCTATGATTCTATGATGTAAACTTTTATCAAGTCTATAGAAGTTGTACAAACCAATGATGAGTGGAATGCCTTTAGGAGCCATAGGTACAAAAAAATAAGAGGAGAAGGATGGTTTCTTGAGCTTTGGTACCTGTAGTTTTTGTGTTTCAAAATTATTCTTTTGTTCAAAAGATGCAGAAGTTTGTTTATCTCTTGAAGTGTCTTTGAATACTGTTTGACATGCTTGCTTCCACTGCCTACTCTAGCATTTCTCATGTTACGGTTTCTTCCTGTTACTAGCTGCTCTGTGATTATATATTACATTCCTTGTTAAGTCTCACTTGTTTCCTTCTCTTGACAGCTGCAAATCAGAAAGAGCCCTTGACTCCTAAATTTAAAGTGAAAGAGGAGCCTACAGATGAAGAAGCTCCAAGTTCAGCCTTGTCTCAGTCCAGCTATGTGTTCAGCCAGGAACCTGAAGCCTCAGCTCCAAACATCCCTGAGGAGAAACTCAAGCCACAGGAAGTGCAGGCAAATGTAATGAGGCAGGACATGTCAGTCAAGGCAGCATCTGAGCTCCTCATGAAGCTCTCAGGTAGATATTTTATTTAATTGCATTCAGCTTCTTCTTTTTCATGTATGCTCTCAAGTTTACCTTGCAGAAGATTTAGCTTTAGTAGCAAGTGAGTGAACAATAGAAAAAGTCTGTCTACACAGGCTCATATATGTATGACACCTCAGTTTGGTCTGTTAACATAGTATCCAATTATCTGTGTTCTGGTTTTCAAATTAATGACTATGGGATAAGTAAAAGAAATGATGCCTTAAAGCTTTTAGATGTTGTCATTTTTTAAGTACCAAAACATGTTAATATCAATTTATTCACGTCTCTCATTAACATCATAAGACTGTGTGTCTGTTCTGAACTATATCTCATACAGCTTTATAAATGATGTCTTTTAAAGCCTTTTAGTTTTTTCAACAGTATCTTGTACTCATAAGATACATAGTTAAAAATATAATGCAAACTGAGCCAGATTTCTGGTGTTGGGGAGACCACTTGACCTCTCCTACTTTGCCTTAGTGATAAATCCTTTCGCCAGACAAATATGTATGTGCATACACGTATGTACTGGTACAGCTGGAGGGAGTCAAAAATGTATGTACTGCTAATTATGCTCTGTCCCACTGTCAGAGTCAAGGTTTAACTTTAAGAGAAAGTGAAAGGGTTGAATTCTCCCTGCTGGGAGTAGGTTAAGTGAATGACAAAAAGGCTTTGAAGTTCTAACAGACTTGAATTTTTAGGAACAAGATGTGAAACTCAGTCTTGGAGGGTGGGTTTCGTACTTCCTCACCTAAACTGGATGAGTTAGTTTTTAAGTCTTCAAAGCTGGACTTATTTATTTTTTTTAAGTGTGCCAACATCATGCAAGAGGTGCCAGTGGAAATGTTTACAAGTTTAGTAACTTCTAAGAACCCTGCTAAACCCATCTGAATTTTTTTTGCTTGATTGGATGCTTTCAACATTGAATTTGAGGTCAAACGTGTAGCTGGAAGACTTTAACTGACTAGGGCCTCCCCCATAAATTCTAACATGTCATTAATTCACTCCTGTTCATACCTGCACACTTCAATTTTCAAAAGAATTTGAATCATTGATTGCAAGAAGTTTGTGTTAATGGTGCAAAACCAGAAGTTAATCAGAGCAGAAGTTTACCAATTATTTTACAGAGTCCCAAATACTAAACATTTGGTAATTGATATAGTGCGCTGTTGCTGGTTTGAGAATGGTGTTGTGATAACAGAACTTTACTGCCTAATGAATTTCAACCTGTGACTTTATTTTTGCTGGCACACATAAATTTATGTATCTATTTTCATAAAGAAAATGCTTCGTAACTAAAGTACTTCAGAGACAATAGGTTTATTGATCGTAATTCTTGAATTCAGCACTAGCAGGCTGTGTTTAAATAGCTTTACTGCAGGTTATTATGTTAGAATATTTGTGCCTTAAATATCTGTTTATATAGATGAAGTCTGACGTATAAAATCTTAGTCAAAGTTTTTGGTCATTTCTGTTGGGAACTCACAGTCTTTAAAGGTTGTAGTAAGAAATGCACTAGTTTAACATTTCTCTTATTTTAAACAGCTCGCGATTGAGCAGTTTTTGCTGATAGTGGTCTTTTTCGTTAATCCATAGATGAGAAGGTAAAGCATTACTCTAGGATCTATTCAGATGGTATTGCTGCAATTGGTGTTCCTGAATCAGCCAGTGGGTGGGGTTATACAAAGTTTATCACTTCGCTGTTTTCAACTTGCACTTTTCAAGAATTACCTTCTAAATCGAAAACTATGAAGGAGGGAAACACTAAGATATAGTTTAACGTAAGAAAAATGTAAAAGGAATATATAAGATCAGTAGTCACTTTAATGTTTGTTTTTTTTAATGTTTACTTTATCTGGTAGGATACTCAGATCACTGCTGACTTCCCAGCTTACCTGAAGCAATTCTACGTTCTGTTTTTGGTGATTTAGAACTTAAACAGCTAAGCCACTTCCTTTGAATAAAGTGAAAACAAGAACAAGATTCCTTCTTTTCCCTGGTACTAGAACGAGGGGGAAAAAAAGAAAAAAAAAAAGAAAAAAAAAAGGGAGAGTAATGAGTATGTCTGGATGTTCTACTGTCTGTAGGAAATCTTCAGTCAAGTGCCCTTATTAGATCTGATATATAATTTGGTTAAGTCAGGTCCTTCCAGGCTATATATATTCTTGGTAAAGACTGAATGGATTGCATCCTTGCTTTTTATTTTCGCTTTCTTCTGTGTGATACTAATTACCAAACCCTGAATTGCATACAAATTCAGCAACGGATTTCTGACCCTTCATAGTATTTTGCTTTCTGTGTTCCTGATAGACATGCTTCTGTTATCTCCTAAGCAATAATATTGGTGATTGTCGCAGCCTCTTGGGATTTAGGCATAGACGATGCTTTCACATGAAAGATACACTGCTTTATATTTTTCACTGGGAAACCTCTTTTCCCAGAGATGCTGTGTTGCTAGCTCTTAGCTGAGCTTGTTCAGTTTAGTGGAAGGCCTTTCCAGCTCTAGAGTCCAGTGTGGATTGGTAGTTTGCAGTAAATCTCTCCTATAGTATGCACCAGCCCACACTAGCCCCCTGTAATGGAGGGATTTGTTAGCCACTCAGAAAGTTTTCTAAAGCTAGGAAAATGTGGATGAATGAACATGATTTACTGTAGTAGAACATTAACAGAACATTTACTAGGTGTTAGTGTAGAGGCAGTTTTACAGAAGTTTATCTGGAGATGCTATGCCTTTCTATACCAGTTTTTTCTCTGCTGTGTCCACTGGGATTCAAATCTTCTACCTCACAGTTCCCAAACTTCATACCTAGTCACTTGATACCTACTCGCACTTCTTCTAAAGAATTATTCAAACTGAGAAGTTTAATGTGTACAGGGCATATCTAGGTAGAGCCCATTTCCATCCAGATAGTCAAAACAAAACTTCCTAAAGACTGATATGGAACTTAAAATAAATGAAATGCGCATTTTGAAGAAATGGTATTTGGGGGTTAACAGGCAAAGTTTGAGCTTTAGTGCAGAATTTTAACCTACATTTTAGAGAACATGAAATGACTGCCATGGTTTATATGAATGTACTAAAATGAACTGTGAATTCTGTCCATTACTAAGTTTTGACTGAGACTAGGTGCAATGATAAGCAAATAGATTTGAGGAGACAGTGGAGTGGGGCAAATCACTCTTATCTCTGTTTGGAAGGGGGCCATCCCTGCAGATTTTGAATTCCTATTAAATGTTGCACTAAATCACTTAAAGGAAATTGAAGTGATGTATTTTAAATACACCTGAACCTATTTTCTGCATTCTTACCAGTTCTCTTTCATGGAAAAGATAATTTATGTGTCAAAATGTTGAAATAAGTGGTGTATCTGGTTAGTCTTATGCACTCAATATTGTAAATAGAAAGGTAGGTTTCAGAGGAGACTGAAATTTAAAATAAATGTTTGCATTTACCTGCTAAGGTGTAAGTCTAAAAACGCACCTTTCTTTTGAAATAATCATGCTGCTAATACGTTTTGGGCACGTATTATCTTTCAGAAGCATACAGTGTTCCCCCTTGTCCAAAAATAAATGCATAGCTGGAGGTGTATCAAATCTATTCCAGGTACTAGCATTTTATAAGTAGTCTTTTACCCTAGTGCCTTGAACTGTGACATTAGTATGTCCCTGTCTTTCCTAGAAATGTTGCCTGAATCACATTTGCCTTTATTTGAGCTGTATCTTATTTGTGATCATCTCGCATTTCTATGGTAACTCAGGTTGTTTTCCTCCTCTCTTTTTTTTCCAGTGGATCAATTTCCCATGTATTGCACATATCCTTGTTATCGTTAACAAATGCATGACCTTTGTACTATACAGTTCTTTTGGATTCTTTGTACTTTCATCTTTGGGTCACATGGTGTTTCTTGTAATACACCAATTGCCGAGTTACCAACAGTGTGTCATAGTTTTGGGTTATCAGCATTTGCAATTAACTTGTACTTGATTTTGGTTTCAAGATCATGAAGTACTTGTTGCATTCAGTTGATTCCAAAAACGTTCTTGATCAACTCCATTTATTATCACCTTTATATTGTCACAACTATATGACAATTCCTCTTTCAGCACAACTGGTTATGTGGGAGATTTGGGGGGCTTTCCCACTTTTTTGATTAAGTATTTATCCGCTTGAAAATGTTTATGCTGATTTCCAATTTTGTGCCTTGCAGTTAATTTTTTTGACACTATCTTACATTTAACTGAAACCACATAGCTTAGAACTATTTGAGAAGAGGAAGAAAGAGAAAAAAAGAATGACAGTACAGTTCTAGCAGTTCTGGCATAAGATGAAAGCCAGAACACCTCCCATTCCAAAAATGGCACATTGTACATTAGGGTACAGTGAGGTGAGGGACTATCTGAGAAGGCTTTAAATTAGCTCATACCACAGCCAGTCCAGCCACAGCAGCACAGACTTCCAGAAGAACTCAATAAGTTTAAAAAGTTTGCTAACAAGGAGCGCTATCTGTGTTTGTGTGGCTGGACAGCTGGTGTCAGATTTACCTCATTTTAAGGCTTGGGTGGCGTTATGCTTGGCTGTCATCAGCAATGTAAATCGACAAGAAGTCCATGGCTAGCAAGATATTATTCTTAGCAGTCACAAAATCTTTTCAGGTTTAGTGGGTTGAGTTGGCAGTCTTTTGATTTATTGTTACTGTGGTGAAGAAAAAGAACATTCTTTGGGTGAGTTGGGGACCTTGCTACATATTTCTTTTTCATAACTTTGTGGACTGTTCTGGGATGCGCTTGTATGGCGGTAGGCTGCTGTCTTTGGAGTTTGCTGTTGTCAGGACCTTGTAAGAGTCTCAGTACCTAGATTGCAGGGGTGCTGTCAAGAGTGCTTTCATCCCTGTTTGGAGAGCCTTGGTAATGAGCAGAGGAGTGAAAATACAGGGAAGTCTTTTGTTCCTTGATCTCTAAGTAGCTTATTAGAAAGCTCTGGGCAGCAGCAG